CGAGCTGCTGGCGCAGCGCTGCTGCCCGCGAGCGCTGGTGCCGCCTTCTGTCGGGGAGCGGGTGGTGTAACGGTGGGACCACTGAGCGCTGAACTCGGAGCGCCTTACCGTGACATCCAGCAGAAGCTGCAGAAGGACGCGGGCATTGCACGTCTGTCTGCTCGAGCAGCACTGTTAACTGCGCACCTCCCTTGTCATAGAGCCCAGCCCTTCCCAAATAACATCCACAACGTAGCTTCAGGCAAGCTGATTCCACGAGGAGTAGAACAGTAACTCACCAGTGCTTTGAGGCTCCTCTGGCTGTGAGGCTGGACTCTTCACTTACAGCATCGGGAGTGGTGACTTCATCTCCGAGGTCCCATAGCACAAATGGGGGCTGCATCCACTAGGGTCCTGCAAGGCTGCTGGCAGCTCATGTGGAAACTGTACCTCATGGTGTTACACCTCTGGTGGTGGCATACGGCCCCAGGTCCCACTCGGTTGCCAGGCACCTCAGAGGTAGTAACATGTTTTTGGGGGCTTTTCAGGATCGTTATTACAGCTATATCATAACACTCTTCTCTTTTGAAATACTTACACATCGAGGAAGTTTCTTTTACAGTTGAAAATAATTTGAGGTGGTAGCCTAGGTGTTACAACTGTATTAATTGTTCAACACATACTTCACTATTTAAGAAAAAGTAAACCCAAACCATTTATATTGTTGTACTCTTGTGTTTGGTTGGTGACAGATAGGTAGACCTGACCGACTACTTAAGAGCAAATCCTAGGATAGGCAATAGTTAGGATTAAAAGAGGAAATGCTATCATCAGATTAGAATGGTCGTTCCTCCATTCCTGTTTGATTGGAATTACTTAAAGAAAAATAGGAAGATAAAGAACCAGAAAGGATGTTCTGGGATGGGTTGAGTCCTCTGCCACTGTGGGTGTCATATCCTATAACTGAGTTCATAAACTTATCAAGCTTCATTCTAAAAGATGCCAGATTCTTTTTCCTTCCAAGTACATGTTCAGATTCTTTTGTTTTAAACTGACAACATCTGTTAAGGCAACTCCAGAAAATGGAGTAGACCCTTTTAAAACTACATACTTGGCAGACTTTGTTGCTGACTAGATATAGCCACCAATAATTCCCTAGTTGCAGTTACTTCATAAACACAGGAGCAATTTAAATTTTGGGTAATGTGGAGAATCCAAAACCAAATTGCTATGCACTTAAAGTTAGATTGAACTTACGGAGTCAAACTCAGTTGTTGCATAAAAGTCGTGTTTTAAGTAACGAAAGACAGTGGAGGAAAACTTAATAATGGCTGTTAATCTTTATTTGAACTCTTGTCTGGTTAAGATATTTAGTAGCTATTTATAATAACAACTTGAACATTTACAATTTGGGAAGTTTATTCTTGGTTACAAATGCAGAGTTCATTATACATATTCACACAAATGTAAAAGCAATCTGTACAGAGAGACCATTTTTTAAAATCTAGTCTTACCATTTTTTAAAATCTTGTCTTTGCTTTTATTACAGAAAGCACAAGAAAAAATATTTTTGGAGGTCTCAAGCTAATGTACTGTCCATTACAGCTTTAAACTAGAAATACATGATGCAGTACTAATTAATACCATTTTAACATGTTAAAACAATGGATAAGAAATACTGTTATTAATGCCTTCATTTTTAAAGTAGTTGTTCCCCAAAGAAATGAGTAAATAGAATACTTTTCATGGCACATACGTGATTAAAAATTACAAAGAGTTTGCAAATAGAGATGTTAAGTACATTTTCTTTATTTTTAATATCTCTATATATTTCTTTTTAAAGGTGATACATTTTACAGAGATTTAGTCAGCTTTGTATAAAATATCATGTAGATACATTCAAAACAAAACTAATTTTCGCAAGGTGTCCAAACTGCACACACACGCGAATAAGCCCTTTCTCCTCTGAACAGCCTTACTGGAGTGATGCAACCACTCACATAAATAAGGGACATTTGCATAACATGGTAGAGGATTAAGCCCTATCAGCATAATTTTAAAACAAATACGGGCAGATAAAGCACACGTTGCATGTATTTTTCTAAACTGTATACAAATAAGTGAGATTTTAATTTAGTTTTTAAATACCAGCAGGTATTTAAAATATCTCAGATTATGTTGTTTCAGAAATGCTAGCGTACATACCAGTTTTAAAATATTTCTATGTCCAAAGTAACTTAATGCAACAGAGCAGGTGGCTTTCAGTTTTGACTGTGGTGTTTCGTGCTGAACATTCATCATATTGACTATTTTTGATTGTTTTTTAAGGTACCAGAAAAAAGAACCCCAAATAGTAGCACAAAAAGTTGCTACATTATGAAATTGTCTATAAAACTCTACTACTCTGCCTATGAAACTAACCAGCAAACGCAACAGGACTCCAACTCGCATTCTAGCTGATGGCAATTTACTACCTCTTCTGCTTAATTTGGAAATTTAGTGGGTAACGTGGGTGCTTTTGCTTTGCAAAACCAGGTCCTGATCTTTTTATGTAATTGCAGAAAAGCAAGTTTGATATGCACCCACCTATACTTAATAACATCATGTAAAATGCACTTTTCAAAGTTAAGCATACAACGCAGTGTTTAACAGCATATAAAAAAGCAAGCAAGTGGTATTAGTGTCATTTACAGATACTTGGGACATCCCCATTTTAAGTTTCTGTTCATTATTATCTACATTATATAAGAAACCACACACAAACACACGAGCGAGCTGACTGTTCCATGAAACTGTGCAACTATGAGGCAACTTGTACCAGAACTTAGCGAACAGGGATTGATTGTTGTCCTAAGACATAGGAAAACAGCAAATGTTAATAATGTATTTCTTATTCCACTCTGTTGGCAATAATGCCACTTCTTATGCATTGAAAACTCATGTTTCCCAGCTTTCCTGTGGTTTTCCCCCAGGCTCTCTACAGTAGTGTAGAGTCATACAATCTATTAAGTCCTTCTTCCTTTCATTTCTAAGCGACAGGTTTTTGGCACTTACTACTTTAGCTGCAGATTACACAATAGTTAGACATCCCTTTTGTTGTGCCATCTATTGGTACACAAGCATATGGAGAAGTTGCAATAGTTCACCTGGGGACGTGAAAATACTAGAAGTAATTTTTAGCTTACAAATGTAAATGATAATCAAGGAAAACAAAGTTTAGGAAATGGATTTTTTACTCACTGGTTTGCTTCAGTCTGCAATAGATTCCCCAAAGCAGAGCTGTGAAGTATTTCAAACTGTACTAATTACGGTCAGGTTCACTGCAGTGCCAGGGGCACAATTAAAAGGCAGGTGACTCCAGTAAATGACAGTGAGACTGGACTAACTAGAGGGACCAGATGTTTCCTCCCCCCCCCCCGGCCCCTTAAAAAAAAAAACCAACAAAAAACCCCCACTATTGCAAAAGGGTCCAAGAAATATCCTTACATAAATGCTGTCCTGTAAGGTTGCCAAGGTCAGTATATGCCACAGTGACTGCCTTGGCAAGCTAAAGTGTCTTAGGCCTCTTGAAATCTATCCAAATACTTCACCTCTCACTTAAATCTTCCTGGTTAAACAACTGGAAGGCTGGCTGTGCTACTAAGCACGTCAGCAGATACTTAACAGGTAAAACTTAGGAGCTTCAAATGAAATAAAGCAGTACCGAGGTTTTACTCCACCCTTGGACACCTACCGAGGACGCTCTTAGCTATGCTAGTGCAAGTTGGAACCAAACTCACTGATCTGAACTCAGCCAGATACCTACAGTATTTGTCCAGGATAAGTGGTTTGGGGACATTCAAATTTTTACATTTTTATCATTTGTTATTAATATTTTTGCATATCTTAAATATAAATCTGTTGTCTGGAAAGAAAATAATTCAAAGCTTCCATGCTCTAAAATTAAAAAATGCAAACTTGACAGGTTACCTACTACAGATAGATTTTATTTGTATAATGCTTTAAATTGGGCAACAATGGGACTAAAAAAACCCAAAAGAAGTGAGAACATGATGGTATTTCCCAAGAAAGAAATACCAGATTTGGAAAAAAGATTAAAGTTTCTATCTATGCACTCCTGTTTTACAAATATCTATTCAAACCATATAGTTATGCAAAAGGTGTGCCCATCCCTGTGTGCTGTCAATTAAGGGACAGTGTCATGACGTAAAAAAATTTGTCCTAGCATAAAATGTGTTTCTCTCTATTAAAAAACAAGATCTCCTCTAGAGGGCAGCATTAAATCAGTATTCAATGACCAGGAAACCTAAGCTCTAATACTCCTTTATAATACGTACTAAATTTACAGGCTAATAAGGCACAGTTATGTCGACCAAGGATGGTTATTTACCATTACGATAAAGCTGGAAATTTCTGGCACCTTAAGCTATGCATTACAAATGGGTGAATTCTTTCATTCTGGCCCAAGAGTCCGCTATATTTGGCTGATTGCAAAACCATGTGCTACATATGAAAATTCACAGATTCATTCTGAGCTGTGGGCTGGTGAGATAGTAAACACTGCAGACTGAAACGTTTGCTGGTGTAATCTAGTTCAGCACTATTACAGCCAAATCAGTTGTGCTCAGTTAGAGCAGCTGAAATGGGACACCGAGCTTGCATGTGGGGGGAAGAGAAGACAGTAGCCAAACTAGAACACAGGCTTTCTGGCATGAAAGCCTTGGTCATCACAAACATGCTTCCTGGGTAGTGGGTTACTATAACAATCTTAAAGCCACGGGTAGTGACCTGTGTCATTCTCCATGGATTACTTTTCATCATTGCATAGGATGTCTTGAACTGCTGAAACCTCACACGTGTTTTGCTGGTTTGCTTAAGGATTTCAAATGCTGAATTTATGAAATTACAGAAAACAAAAGGTCACCTAAATATTTCATCTATTGGTTTCCTAAAAAGAAACCACATCAGAAAGTCTCTTATCGTTAGAAGAAACATTCTTATTTTTAAATACACAGGAGAAAATCCATACGGAAATAAATTCATCACCATTATATATACAGCAAGTGTTAGAAGCAGCGTATACAAGAAAGGTGACTCCCCCCATAAGAATAAATTGCATGTGGCAATAGCTTGATTGATTTTTTTTTTTTTTTTAAAAACTAAAATCCCAGTGCATTAAGGCTTGGAAACAGTTTCAGTTTGGAGTCAGACCAGGTTTTCTCTGCCACCTGTTTCATAACCCAGAGAAATATTCCTGAACTCACCAGCCAAGCCCACAATTCAGCTGCAAAACTCTTTAGTTAATCTCACCTGCCCCCATCAGCACAGGACAAATCATCAGGTTCATGCTCTGGCAAGGGGCCTCTCAAGCTACCATTTCAGCACTGAACTGGAGTTACAGACATGGGGGTTATTTGGCCATGTTCCCTTCCCCCCCCCAAATCTTTAGGGAGCGCTCCCCATGCTTACAGTTGGGTGCAGCATCACCACTCCTGGAGCATCAGGGGCCAGGACCGCCACAACAGCCACAACCACAGCGAGCAGCAGCTCCAGCGTTGGTCACACAATGCATTTGCCATGTCTTGTGGCAAGGTAGCCCTGCCTGCAGAGCTTTGTGGCTGAAAAACTTTTTAGGGGTTTCAAGTTAGTCCTTGTGCCCTTAGGACTCGGTTTGGGAACTTTGCTTCCAAAATTGATTAGGCTACACTATGTTAGAGAGAGGATGTTTGTAGTAACCAGAGAGATGGTCGTTAGCTACAATTTTAAATAGAACAAGCCTTAAAGAAAGCTGCTTGTCCTCTGCTCCTAGGCAGCAGGCAGACGTGGTTATCTTACCATAATGGAAATCACCATGCTTTCACGGTCAGTTAAATTAGACTATGGAATTTTGTTTTGTAAACTAGAAAACAAAAATAAAACATAAATTTGGCTGGGCTTCAGATTCCCCCAAGATCAGTAGCTTAAGTGTGTTAACCAAAATGTCTGTTGATGAATCCATGAAGCTAATATACTAAATATTTTAGCGATCAAGATAAATCAATTGCTCAGTCTCAGATTGACCTACATTTCATAAGCATTAGCAGCCTCCCTGTCAATCATCTTTATTGCTACTGACATCTAGTGGTAACATTTAGCTGCATTTCTGAATTCCTGTAAAACAATCTTGCATTCTCTCAAACCAGAAAAAAAAGAGAGTGGTTTCCTAGGGAAAGAAATGCACTACGTTTTGTGAGAGGCTGAGATAATTACTGAGTTTTGAGTGAGACTGCCAGCACTGCCTAACAGTAAAATTTATCTTCGTGAGCTATTTGCAAACTCAAAGTATTCAAAAAGACCCCCATAAACAATTTCATATGGAAGGAGAAAATAATCAACTGATCTGGCATGAATTTGCTGAGCAAAGCACATCTTTTTTTAACTCTTCCCAATAAGATCATGGCTGCTCTGAAACAATTTAGCATTTAACAACTTACTCTTCTAAATACGTGTGTGTGTAAAGCACATGGAAGTCTAAACAGATTTCCTCTTAGATGCTGTGCAATCGATAGAAAAATCAACAGTTCCTGTAATACAGCCTGTCAATCTGCATGATTCGATTGATAAGAAACACTGAGTTCAGAATATAAAGGCCAAATGCACTGATCTCAGTTGAGGACCGGGGAAGGACTTGCAGTGCAGATCACAACCGCAACCCCCCGCAGCAGCCTTGCCCGGGGATCTGTACCTCGCTCTGTTCCTGGGAGCTCTGCTTTCCACAGGTCTCGGCTGCTTTGGCAACAGAAGGGGTTGGTAGAGTAGATGTACCAACAGCAGATCCTTGGGGATCTACTGGTTAATTCCTCATAGCCAAAGTGACAATAGGTGCCGTACACAGCAGGATCCGTACCTGCCAGCATTTCTAATGGAAATGAGAGCGGCAGAAGTCCAGAGAAGCTATTGCACACAGGCTGCCTATCTGTACGTGTGCAGTTAACCAGACGTCCTTGAACGTACCAGACTTGCTGCAGGTGCATAGATGGATCTCCTTTGTATGTGCTGGGCTCACCATATCCAGGATGCAGAATAAACCTATGCAGAGAGGGCATTTGCCTGGGAATTTTCAAAGATGGTCACTAAAAGGTTTGGCAGCTGAGGTGGTAGCGCTGACGATGGGTGTGGATACCAGCCACGGTCCTGTGCTAGGAAGATAATTCTAGCCTTCCTCCTTGACTGGCATGGAAATGCCGTGAGTGGTCAGGCTGTGCCTCGGCGACGGGGAAGAACAACCCCGGTTAAGAGGTTTAGTTGAATCAAAATGAGCTCTCTTCCTCCGTTACGAGCAAATGTCTTGGGTTCTGTGGCAACAGAGGCTCTGTTGGGAGGGGGAAGGCTGCCATGCAGAGCGATTAGAGCAATAGGTAAAGCACTGTTCTGGTATTCTGTATCAATGTTTTGCAGGCCTGGCAGTGGTCACAGTTGATGCCTACAAGCACTGGATATTCCACAAGTTGAAGACGGAATACTGACTTGTTTACCTGAAGATAATAGGACTTCGGGGTATTTCCTCAGAGAAAATATAAATTTTAATATAATTTCATAAGCTTTGGAGGTTAGCTTGTCTTGTAGCTTCAGTGATATCAAACTTCTTCAAGTAGGAGCTAGATAGAAAGCTGTTTAGTTTTTGCCAGCGTATGTAAAACAAGACTTTTCTATCTGCATTGTAGATTGTTTGTGGACACTTCCAGATTCTTGTGCTTTCTGCAGTCATTCTGGGGACTGAACTCTCATTGATATCAGTAGAGGTTCCATGAACAGGACACATGCAGGATTTTGAGTGTAGAAGCCCACAGTGTGGTGTGGAGTAGTGAATTGCTTTTAGTTTGGAGATGACTGGGGGAGATGGGAAGAGCAACTGTATATTAAGGGAACAATTACAGATCTTCTTCCCGGTGACATCAATGAGAGATTTGCCTTCAACCTTCCACAGAAGAAGATTTTTAGCTTTAATTTGGGACAGTAAAGGGGTTTTTCAAAAGCACTAAAAGCCAGTGGGAGCTTGTTCAGCTGCTCCTTATGCCTTTAAAAACCCCTACACCAAAAGTGATAGCTAACAACATGAAATGGAAGTAAATAAAATGCATTTTCATTGCTGTTTTGAGTTACATAATTCTTGTTTCTTGATTTGTTAGTTGATCTGAATTTACATGGATTTAATCTATATGGTGACCAAGAAAATGGTCAGTAAGTGGTAAAGGTGCAAAGTATAGCCACAAAGCAAGCAATGTGTAGGTGTAGACCCTAAGCAGCTATCAAAGACGGGTAACAAAAGTTCACTGCCTACAGCTATGTCTTTTGTGTCCACATCTACCAAGCTAGATGGCCATTTCAGCATTTACCGGCAGATAACAAATGCTCCCAGCTTACTAGAAGGATAAACTCAAGGACAACTAGGACCCAGTCACAGATAAGAACTCACAGACATCAATTAAACGTCACCCTACCTGCATGGAGCACTGAGCATGTTCCTACTGTTCTTCAGAATATCGGAGCAAGAACTACCTTAGCATTAGGTCAGCTTGTACAGGGCGGATTGCCCCTGGACGGTCGCATCCCTCGCTCAAGTCCTCTCTGGCAGTAGCTGCCATAAGAAATGCAGTGGAACAAGGATCTAACAAAGGGTTCCGATCTACTCAAATACACCAAAAATGACTCCCTTCTGTATTCTCTAAATCAAGGCCGCAAAGAGCCCTTACATCATCTGGTTTGATATCACGGTCAGGCTCTTAATTTCACCTAAGACTCCTACATAGAGCCTAGCAACTTGTATTGGGCTAAAGTATTTCCTCCAGAAGTGATCTGTTAAATCAAAAAGGCATTAGAGTGATGGGGATTACGTCACTGGTCTGGTTAGGATTAACCAGTCTCACCATTAAAAATCCATGGCTTGCTTTATTTGATTTTGTGTAGCTTCACCTTCCACCCGTTGGATGGATATTTGTATATCTTTCTCTGTTCAATTTAAGAACTTGTTAATATAAAGCATCTCCTCCCTGTAAAGAAATCTGATTGCCTCTTGATCTTCATTGTAAGCTGAACAGACTTGGCTGTAAGCCATTTTCTCCCTCCCTGAAGTAATTTTTTATGGCTTTTTACTGCACAATCTCTATTTTTTTCAACATCTTTAAAAATGTGAACAGTGGAATAGTTTGCAAATTTTTAATTGATCTCACTTAATGCCATATGCAGATATAAAAATCATAATCCTCCTTTTATTCATTACCCCGCTCTGCATGGGATGTGCCTGAGATGAGATAATTTAAAGAAAGAGACCGAAAAAGGGGAGAGAAGGAAGAGGACAAGAGGAGTGTGCAGAGTTACAGAGTTTACAATTAAAACCACATAAACCAAGAAAAATCAAACACAAATGAACCCTACAAACCAAAACAATTAAATACTCCAAACTCCCAAGTTTTGGGAACCCCAACAGCAACATTATGTGCTCTGTTGTTTAAGAAAAGACTTCAGCAGAGCCCTCCCTGTCCTGCAACTCTCTACACTGAAAGTATTGCTAGGTTTTTGTGTTTTGAAATTCTGCAGCGGAGGTTTCTTGGGGAATTTGGGTTCCACAGTAACAAAGCGCTTTGCACATCTTCAGCCACAGACCCCAGAACAGGACCCAGAGGTGCTTCCTCTTGAGAAAAAAAAAGCTTTTCTTGATAGTAGTGGAAATAACCACAGGTAGTCAAGGTTGTTCTCTTTAGCCAAAGAATTGCTATTTCCATCACATCAACAGCAGGTAGCAATGAATGGAGCTTGGCTTTGTTTCCTCTGCAAGTTGCAAGTCCTTCTCTTGTTTGACCAGATGGTACACAGCAGCTTCTTTCATTCTAGGGCTGCATCCTTTTTTTCTTCTTTGTTTTCAGCCAGAGTTTTTCACCCTTTTAATGTGCATGTGCAATGCAAATACAGAGTTGAGAGCCAAATTAGGATAGGGATTTCTCCCTCCTTCATGCGATAAGGCACACTAGGCAACACACTGTCTCAGTACTGTTAGTTCACGCAGCAACATTAGCAGTGAATACTGTTCATTCCCAGGTACTGTCATGGGTACCTTTATCAAATCCTGTTGTTACCATGCGTATCTTACGGGTTTGGGAGCTTTACAATATTTTCAAAGTCCATAAATGACAGAATCCAGTATAAAAAAAGGTCAACCCAGAACAGGACCCAGAGGTGCTTCCTCTTGAGAAAAAAAAAGCTTTTCTTGATAGTAGTGGAAATAACCACAGGTAGTCAAGGTTGTTCTCTTTAGCCAAAGAATTGCTATTTCCATCACATCAACAGCAGGTAGCAATGAATGGAGCTTGGCTTTGTTTCCTCTGCAAGTTGCAAGTCCTTCTCTTGTTTGACCAGATGGTACACAGCAGCTTCTTTCATTGGGGGGCTGCATCCTTTTTTTCTTCTTTGTTTTCCAGAGTTTTTCACCCTTTTAATGTGCATGTGCAATGCAAATACAGAGTTGAGAGCCAAATTAGTAGGGATTTCTGCGATAAGGCACACTAGGCAACACACTGTCTCAGTACTGTTAGTTCACGCAGCAACATTACCAGTGAATACTGTTCATTCCCAGGTACTGTCATGGGGACCTTTATCAAATCCTGTTGTTACCATGCGTATCTTACGGGTTTGGGAGCTTTACAATATTTTCAAAGTCCATAAATGACAGAATCCAGTATAAAAAAAGGTCAATATATTACTGTTGAAAGGTTTTTTTTTTTTCCTTTTTTAATACAAAAATTAAAAAGATCAAAATATATCACATTATTTACATATTGTGCTTCATGCTTAGAGATCACTGGAAGAGAACACACAGACAAACATTTTAATCAAAGAGAAATGCTCCATTCGTTACACTTACTAATCTTATTGTTAATATTATAAGGATTGGCATTCAGATTTCTTTTAATATTAACAGTGCATCCAAATGACTTACCACAGAATTAAAAACTTTTATATGCTAAGGGCGTGCTCACATTCTAACCGAGGGTTTGCAACCAGTTAAGTAACATGCTTGCTATTAACTCGAACTGTGTCCACATACCACGTGTTTCAAACTGGGTTAGTAATTCCGCTCAGCTTCAGTGTCATACCCTTGTCGGAGAATGAGGTTACAGCATCCTCCTGCAAGTCTGGATCAAATGCTCATCTTACGGCAGGACACGTCTCTCCTCATTCTCCTGGGCTGCCTTTAGCACTTACAACCCCTGGCTGTTTTGGGTGCGTGAGACAGTACGAATTACCTGACCACGTGCACCTTGATTTACTGATTCAAGCACTGAAGGAGTGTAGTGGTTGTGGATTATAATTACAATGGCAGAAAAGTCTTTGTTTGGAAATGAATGTTTTGTAACTCTGCGACAAAGAGGTAACCCACTGTAAAAGTCTCAGCTAGAGGGTATGGTCTAAGTCACAGAAGCACATTTTGCAGAGCGGTGCAGTCTTTGCGTGAGTGGTTCCTAAACTGCCTGGGCCATAATAGAAGCCTAGCCTGAGCAAGCCTGAAAAGAAGGCATTGCTACCGACAATATTAACAAGAATGATTTTCACGCTTAGCAAGTTTTTGGAGCAGTGTTCCTAGCACCAGTCTACAGCTGTGGGGAACGAGACATGAAGCTAGATGGAATCCTGCTCTCCCAAGGCATGGCGTTATGTCTGCCAGGCATATAACCTGTTGCTTAAAGGAAGTGCAGCAGCACAAACGATCGCCGTGCGGCAAACAAAATTACTCACGACCTGCTCAAGGATATACAATTATTATTATTACTGTACCTTATGCCAACATCCTGCTACTGGCAGTCCGTCTGGTCCCTGCAAAATTGAATTTACAGATTTAATTTCTGTTGACAGTGACTTAAGTGTCTGACCCAAAAACCTGAAGCTCAGTCTTCACAACGATGAAAGGTTTAGCAGCGCCGTTAATTACCATGCAAAACCCATTTACTGTATATGCACAAAAATAAATATGCAGGCAATATAATCCGTGTGTCATGCACAACAGAAAATTGAATACATCCCAGGGTAAAAAAAACCCAAAAACCAAAACAAAACCCAAAAAACCTACACTTTTTTTCCTTTAAACAAAAAAGAAAATGTGAACAAATATAAAAATTTGGAACCACAGTTAATTAACTTTATAATCTGCTTTATAAGGTAGTGTTTTTTGCAATCAGACATATATATGGAAAGCATGATGTGGAAATGTATTTTTTGTTAATATGCGCTTTTCATTTTGGGGGCGGGGGGGTAATTTTTTTTTTTCCCCCGCATGATATCCTAATTGTGTTAAATTCGATCCTGCAGTACTTAGTTTCTTTAAGAAATCCTGAGTTGCTGAACTGATTGAAATAGGATGAGTTGCGGACTATGCAAAGGGAGTGAAAATATTTGTCTTTTTCTGATGGAGATACAAGAAACATACAGAAATCAGAAAGCCAGAAGAGCTTACTTACCAGGAGGAAAACACTGAAAAGGAAGGAGCCCCTTAGAAGAGGAATGGACTATGTATGACCAACTCTTTCAAGATACTTTAGAAGAAATAGCTGACTTCAGCTGTCTTTTCTGATGCTGGATTTTTTTAAGGCTCTTGGATCTCCGATTGCATGAATTTCTGCATGTAGAGCTACAGAGAGCACACATGCACTGACCCTTCCCTCAGAGCCACCTCCAAATTAACTAGGGGTGGGAAACCACGAGGATGCGTACGCAGCGGAGATAACTGCTAGTGCAAATATAGGTCAAAATGCATTTTTACGTTTTTTTACTGTAAATGTCAGTCATCACATTTTTTGTATTCTGTATTGATTTTATATGTAAAATAGCCTATACCCAATAAAACAGATGCAGTGAAGTAAGGTTACCCTCTCCAGCTACTCATAGTGTAAGAGGTCTAGTTATTTTCACATGCTTTCCTATAACATTAGTTAGAAAACATACACATTTTTCTGCTGACACCAGTAAATATTTTGGTCCATAACTATTCATAAAAAAAAAGTGCAACTTGTACATTTGCCAGAGTTGTCTGGGGGTGAATGGTAACGGGGACAAGGCGCAGAGCAGTTTGACCTGGAAAGATCCTGACCTGCTGTTAAAGCGCATCCTAACACCGGCAGTCACGGCACCGATTCCTGCCCTGGGCTTTTTCTCCTTCCCGTGCACTCAAAATACTTATTTTGGCCATCATAAAACTCCATGCCTTTCCACCATGTTTCACTCGAATGATTCCAAAACGACTTGTCAACTTAAAAAGAGCTTTGCAACCTGCGCGTAAGGCTCATGCTCATGCTGCTGGACTGACAGCCATCGCTGAGAACCCAGCAAGCCTCCACCGCACGGTGGGGTGGAGAATGAAGACAACACTCCCAGCCAACATGCAACTAACCCTCACATACCTAAGCAGGAAGATGTGCAAGTGCTTTACTAATTAGTCATGTAGTAGTTATGCATTGGAGAAATCTGCAGTTTGCAATGCCTTCAATACACATAGGTCTTGTGTTTTCTATATAGTTAAGGTGGGAAATAGTTGGTAAATATAACATTTCTAGGGAGTAAATATGAAGAGTTGAAGCGGGCCTGCTGCTAGTAATTGGTTTCTTTGACACATACGAAAGTAATTTAACTTTTTGAAAGAGAGACAGCTTACTGCTCTTTTGTTTCTCTGAAGACAACTGCAAATCATCTAGCATGCAGCATTTTCTATGGTTAAAAAAATGAAAATAAAACAATGACCTTTTTTAGCTAGTTGCGCAGTGCCCTGTCAGGGAGCAGAGCACGAACCGTCCTGCATAGCCGTTGGACTTCAACCTGAGCTCTGCGGGGCAGAGCTGCGTGCTGACACAGCAAATGCCCTCCTAATGCCCCGAGTGCCAGTGACCCCCTCCAGCCACCGCTCTGCGGAATTGGCTGTTCCTTTGGGGAAAGCCTTTCAAAACCCAGACTCAAAGGGTGTGCAGCAGCACAGGCACGAGGGGAACCGAACTGGGCCGGAGGTGCTGAGAGAAACTAGAACTAAGTTTTAGCATCTGTTATCATAAAGGGGCAAGCATCCCTTACGTGATCTCCCATTGCTTACACTCCTTATCTAAAGTCATTTTAACTGTGGGAAGAAGGCACAACACACCGGCGTCCTTCCCTGACTGCCAAAGTGAAACATCTTGTTCCAGCTCTGCTGCCTTGTGTCCTTCCTCTCCCTGGAGGGATTCGCTCCTCGGGACAGGACTTGGCCACAGCAGAAACACACGCAAGCCATGCAAGAAAGAAAGAGAGCAGATACTGTACCAAAGGGCAGGGCACGCTCACCCCGTCCAGGCCTGGTAAACCTGGGTCCCTTTTGCTGCCTGCAATGCTACGATCTCCCTGTTTGAAAAAATAACTGCTTGTTGAGAATGATAAAGGACATGGGAGTTACTCAAACAGACACCCGTGTTTCAGCGGAGGAGGACGGGTCCAGAACTTTACACCTCCGTTTCTGATGATACAGCAAGTCAGCAGAGTGGTTTTATGGTAGGGAATTCACAGACACGTAGAGTCTGTCATCTGGGAAAGATCTTCTATACACAAACCAGAGATTCACATTTGTAACAGTGCAGTGAAAAAGATGAGGGTTAAATCATCCAGCATGTTGAGAGAGGAAAGGTGATCATCAGAAACAAAAAAAATTAATTGTAGTTCACATTCAATCTCAAGCAAAATAAAGCATATTGACTGAAGAAGCTTTTTGCTGGTATAGTGGAGCTATACAACAGCTTTGATTGCCATAGCTGTGCCGGTGGGGCAAGAAAGTGTCACACATTTAGAAAAGAAATGGGTTTTTTTAGTGCCTGGCACTACTAGTTAGGTGCAGCTGAAGTAGCGGCTAACAGCTACATTTAAGTAGTTTTAGTTCAGTAGTTGATACGAATCACTCTTTCATCCTGCAGCAAACCAGATCTCTCTGGTTTTAGTCATTATATGAAAAATAGTAATGAAAAGGAGGTATATTTTACCAGGCCAGATAACTTCTTATAAACCAGTACAGATTTTCTTTTTCTGGGCCCTAGCAAAGGAATGAGAGGTTCTGGAAGTGAACTTCGGAGATGTACCCTCCTCAGGTTCAAACACCCAGCAGGTTTCCTGGAAAGCCTCTTTGTGTACACGCTGTACGGCTGTGGCCCAGGACGTATCCGAGAAGGGACGGATCTGAGCCGTGAGCTGCTCTCGTGCAGAGAAACACGGGGAGGTCTCTTCTCCCAGAGGCACTTCTTGGCAGCCCGGGGAGCTCCAGCTCATACATCACTTATCTTTGGCAGTACTGAGATGCTATCAACTCCGACCTGCTTCCCCAGGCGGGAGAGCTAGAGCCGGGCTCATCCCTCGCTCAGTTTGTGGAGGTGAAGGGATGGAGCTGACCTTGTCTTCAAATCTCCTCCCATCCACTGCATCCCATCCACTCCCATCAATTTCAATGACCTTGTCTTCAAATCTCCTCCCATCCACTGCATCCACTTACTCCCCAATTTCAAACGTACTCAAAAGCCAGGCCGGCAGCTTCACCAGGGCACACTATCACCCAAAGAGCGTTACTGAAGGTCATTGTTCTCGACTACAATAAGAAGGTCTTTACACAAAGATTCTTTATTTTTACTGCTGTGGCTTGCTCCCATCTGGCCAGAGAGGAGCCCTTACAGCGAGCAGTGAACTTCCAGCAGTGCAGATAAAACAAACCATTAAGAAAAGTGAGAAAACAATAACCATCTGCTCTGATTTACTGCAAAATAAAGAACTACCAAATCCTCCCTCCCTTTCCCTGGCTGCAAAGCTGCGTCCCCTTTCAGTCCCAGCAACGTGTGCTCAGGATGGGTGAAATAAGAGACATACCACAGGACAAGGCTGATCCAGTCCGGGAGGGCCTGGTTCCCCCTTCTGCCCTTTGGCTCCTTTTCTCCCCGGTATTCCTCGCTCACCCTGTTGATGCAACAGGAAAATAGGAACAGGAGGGGTGACACCTCGGTTTTAACTTGCACAGCACTTGCAGAGTCCCACACCGCACCCAGAGTAGGGACATTTGCACTAGTGTAACCTCAACTGAGAGTTAAATCACTGTGAAAATCTTCCAATAAAGCTGTGTGGAGGTATTTGAATAGGTAATTTTATAACAGAATGACTAAATGACTGGTTTCTGCTAGAAACCAGGTTGGTATCTGACAGTAAGTGGGAGCATCAGCTTCCAGCCACTGCCCTGCGCTCAGCTGGACTCCTGCCTCCAGCTGGGCACCCCTTTATTTAAGCATCCCTGTAACAAAACGTTTGACTTGGATCATTTTCAAGGTCTATAAACCAAAACTAGCAGTTCTTTGCAACCTGGAGGTGTCAAGGCTGCTCCATTTCCCCCACAACGGTTGTGCCAGGGACGGGGGCTGGGACAGGCTTGCAGAAAGCACTTCCAAGTGGGTAGGAATTAACTGAATGTCCTGCCCTATACTGCGACCACGCAAATACTTGTGCCACAGAAAAGGCCTTACAGCAATGACCCGAGAGCCTGGAGGGGGAACCAGCACCCAGGGCAAGCATCACTGCCTGCTGAAAAGAGTGGCCAGTCCTGCCCCCACCCTGCTCGCCCCACGAGCATCTCTACAGCCATAACCCACTCACCTTCTCCCCTCTTTCACTTCTCTCTCCTTTCTCTCCTCTGAGACCTGGGAAACCCTATCATGACAATTTTTAGGTGGAAAAAAAAAAGAGGTTTGTTAAGTTCAGTATGTGCACATCCTGGCATCTCAGTTCAACGCTTTTCTCTCTCCTTTCTCTCCTCTGAGACCTGGGAAACCCTATCATGACAATTTTTAGGTGGAAAAAAAAAAAAAAGAGGTTTGTTAGTTCAGTATGTGAAAATCCTGGCATCTCAGTTCAACATAAGCAATCTCCAGCGATCAACCCGTCCTCCCATGGTGAAGAATATGACATTTTCTTCCTTGTCCACTTGGTATCTCAGCAATTTCTTGGGAAAGCTAGTGCTTTACCTACCCCAGTAACATTACATCTATTGGAGATTCTTCTTTCACTGAATCCAATACAAACATTCTCAACTGGAAAAGGAAACCCCCACGGCACCTTTAGCTGAGCAGCGATGCACGGTGTGGCACAGTCACTGCTCTGCAGTGGAAATGGTCTGGCAACTGGCCTGAATTAAGCCCTTTCCTATAGACATAGTTCCATGGGCACTGTGTTTAAGGGAGAGCAGTCTATACAGTGTTAGCTACATATTTTTTCGACAATCTCAAGCAATTTGATGGCCTTTACGTACATGTTATTCATGTTTCTACGTATCACAATTAATGTACTTACATCCAATCCTGGCTCCCCTGGCTTTCCCTGCAGTTGTAAAAACAAAAATGAAGACATGCCATATTGAGCTTGGTGTTGCAGGCAAACTTACATCCAATTTGGTGAAATACTATGGTAGTGACAGCACAGGCGCGCCCAACGGCCCCTGGGACTCAAGGGAGCTCCTCACCACGCATTGGGATAGTGCCGGTAAGCCCGGCTCTGCAGTTCTGGCTGGACCCACCGCGGCAGGGATTTTATCAGCCCCTATTTTAGGATTGCACCACAACATCACCGCTCCTTTCCCACACTGATTACCTTCTCGCCTTTGGTACCGGGTAAACCGATGAGCCCTGGAGCACCGGGGAGACCCTTAAGGAAAAAAGAAACAAGGCATTGGGATAGTTGCTGTACGGTGGGTTTCTGTTGATGGCCAGAAATGAGATACGGGAAAACAACTCACAGCGGGTCCAGCGTCACCGTGGTCCCCCTTCTCACCGCTGTCGCCTTTTTCTCCCTTTGCACCGTCCAAGCCCTGCATAAATGAAACGGCATCAACCAAGAAGACCTGGCAGCTCTGCCTGGGACAGCCACGCTGCGTATCCGCCCGCCTCCTCCCACATCTCTGGGATGCTTATACCCACACTGCCATTAACGTTTTCCTCTTGACCAGGTCATATAAGAAATAGTTGAAAATAAAGGTTTAAGCCCTGCAGGTTTGGAAACCCTGACTTGCATGTGCCGCCGGCCCTCAGGTCTCCATGCTGGAGGAGGATTTAAGATCATAAATCTGTTTGGAAGGAAAAATGGCTTGTTTTCCTAAACACCAACTGCTGAACAGCACAACCAAGGGATGTGTTGTCACAAACAGTGACAAAAAAAAAAATCAGTCCCCAGAGCTGACAGGCCTTTGTGAGCCTGTAAATAATGCACTGGCAGCCTGGGAACAGTGGGTGACATTTAATTTATTGACTTACTTTAGGCCCCTGGATTCCTGGAGGACCCTGCAGGAAAGACAGTGGTGCATTTGAAAAAAACAGAATTTAAAAACAAACCCCAAAGTTTGCTTCCCAAACCATTTCTTGCTCAAATTATGGGCTGACAATGGCCAAATATTTCTTTTCAAGACAGGTGGCAGTTTATTTGGTTCTCCGATGGCAAATCAGGGGGAAGAGGAACTGAAAAGGACCGCTTTGCGTAACATAGAATCAGAATCGTTTAGGTTGGAAAAGACCTTTAAGATCATCAAGTCCAACCGTTAACCTAACACTGCCAAGTCCACCACTAAACCATGTCCCT